GTGGCGTGGAAAAAAACACCCTTGCCCGCTCAACAACCATGTCACAAAAGTCGATTAATTAAGGATGTTTCCTTTAAAGTCAAAGTGCATATGTCTGGATACACCCCCTCCCCCCCTTTTCCCCCTCTCTTCCCCCGCAAAAAAAGTCAAAATTAAAAATCACAAGATCAGTAAAACGGATGTGCACTCAAAACTTAAGTCCTAGGACACGACTAAAGAAAAAAGGTCCACAAACTACCAAAACTTTCGACCGGAGTTTACAGCCTGCGAACACAAAGAAGAAGAAGAAAAAGAAGAAGAAGAAGAAGAAGAAGAAGAAGAAGAAGAAAGAAGAAGAAGAAGAAGAAGAAGAAGAAGAAGAAGAAGAAAGAAAGAAAGAAAGAAAGAAAGAAAGAAAGAAAAAGAAGAAGAAGAAGAAGAAGAATAAGAAAAAGAAGAAGAAGAAGAAGAAAAAGAAAAAGAAAAAAAGGAAGAAAGAAAGAAAGAAAGAAAGAAAGAAAGAAAGAAAGAAAGAAAGAAAGAAAGAAAGAAAGAAAGAAAGAAAGAAAGAAAAAGAAAGAAAGAAAGAAAGAAAGAAAGAAAGAAAGAAAGAAGAAGAAGAAGTAGAAGAAGAAAAAGAAGAAGAAGAAGAAGAAGAAGAAGAAGAAGAAGAAAAAGAAGAAAAAGAAAGAAAGAAAGAAAGAAAGAAAGAAAGAAAGAAAGAATGAAAGAAAGAAAGAAAGAAAGAAAGAAACAAGAAGAAGAAGAAGAAAAAGAAGAAGAAGAAGAAGAAGAAGAAGAAGAAGAAGAAGAAGTAGTCGGTACTATCCGTTTTCTGATAGGGAAGGTGGGTTAAGATGGGGCCTTAATCTCACCTCTCCTCCTCATCCATAGAATTTTGAGGTGGACTAAGTATCCCCCTAACCATGGTCTCTCTGTGGCGAAGTAATCAGGACGTTTGCCTCTCGCTCTGAAGTCGTGGGTTCGTTTCACGGCGGAGCCGTTAGGTTAACGAATAAAATCTTTACGGAGACCCCTGGGCATCGTCGCCGGAGCTTTGGAGATCGTACTCTGCGTAACGCTTTCGGCAGCTGGCTAGCCCTTTTGCGGAGAGATAGCGAGGCATATGGGATAAAACCCGGCGCAATGAAGTCGACCTTCTCGACTGTAACCTCCAACCTTGTAACCCTAACCATGTATTGATGTTCTTTATGCAAGTTTTTTTTTCTTCTTTACAAATTTCATTTTATTTTGGGTACATGTCACGATAAGAGACCAAAAAATAGAGTGACATCCCTTCTCATTGATACCCCGATCTGGTGTACCGCCTGTACCTTTGTCGAAGGGGTTTCAGGTGAGGTGAGTCGTATTTTACTCCTTGATGTCAGCGGCCGGCGATATGGCGTCTTCTATGCAATGACCGCTTTTAATGGTCCCAAAACATGTACAACTGGGCCTACCCCCCCCCCCACTCCACAGTCTCAGCTTATGTCTGATGACTGTATGCAGCCTCTTTTATACGCTGCATGCAGTAGCTAGGTCGCACCCCTGCGACATACTAGAGGCCGTGCACCAGATCGAGGCATCAATGGGAAGGGAGGTCACTCTCATTGTTGGGTCTCTTAACTTGACTAGATCCTTTAAAAAATATATTACTATATTATTTTCCATTCAGCACATAATAATAACAATAACAATAATAATAATAATTAACATAGTAAAACATCGTCAACACAAATTCACATAACCGCAAAATCAAATGTTAATGTTAACAAATTCTTTCTAATTAAGGAGTAATATATTTATTACGATTAATACATCCCTCCTGCGACCAAACGTTTGTTTATGTTAACCGAGAGTCCATCGAAATAAATTTCACTCGTTGGTTCGTCTTAAGTTAGTTCGCCTTAAGAGGTTTTATTATAACAGCAATTTTTGTTTGCACATTTAAACATGGCTCATGACCCGTGATGCGCCGACCCAAAGATAATTTGTAAGGAGGTTTGAAGCCTCTCCAATGTTTTCTTTGTATCACCGCCCCTGCTTCAGACACTTACGTGTAACATCTTAAAAACTTTTTATAAGCTTTTACTGAGTTCGCTTGTGTTTGTTATCTTATTATCTCAGTCAGGATCCGAGGTCTTCTGTGAAATTTTCCCCAAAAAAAAAAAAAAAAAAAAAACACTAGATATTAAAGACGAGTGGTAGATAACAAAAATTATGATACTTAAAAACTTCCTGATTGATTTTTTCATGACCTGGAATCTCAGGTCGACCCAGCTATAAATTTAAGTAAAACTAAAGATCTATTTTTACGTCTTTGGGCGCATCGGGCATATAAGAAGAGGACCCATATTTTTACAGACCAATCGGCACTAGACAGATAATATGGTCAGCATTAAGCCGTTCGTCTTTACTTCCCCGGGACATAAATCCTGGTACCCATTTTGGGCTGGGTCGACCCGCGACACCCCGTACCATGATAAAAATCCACTGCAATAAATAGGTACCAGGTGAAATTCTGGGAAGTAAAGGTGATCGGCGTGATGTTGACCATATCACCCATGAAGTGATGTATAAAAATGCGTCTAACCTCATATAGCAGATACGTCACTTGCGTGTGCAGGGATCTTTACTGTTACTTACAAGTATGTTTATAAACACCAAACAGTGTTTCTCCGTAAATTTGAACAAAGAATTCGCAAGCAGAAAATTGCACAGTTTATTGCCTGGGAATTTGTCATCTTAGAAGAATTACTAAACTTCCAGTGGACTGATTTCAGATCCAATACGCAAAAAAGACAAGAGACCAAGCAAGATAGTGTATCCAATTTTATTAGAAAGCGCCGCTGGAACAACATCGGCCATGCACTCAGAATGGATACGACCAGACTCCCCCATCAAGCCCTCACGTGGACACCGGAAGGAAAAAGAAAACGGGGAAGTGATGTAATTATTTTCCACCTTGTCAACGTGATGTAATTATTTTCCACCTTGTCAACGTGATGTAATTATTTTCCACCTTGTCAACGGGATGTAATTTTTTCCACCTTGTCAGCGTGATGTAATTATTTTCCACCTTGTCAACGTGATGTAATTATTTTCCACCTTGTCAACGTGATGTAATTATTTTCCACCTTGTCAACGTGATGTAATTATTTTCCACCTTGTCAATGGGATTTAGTTATTTCCCACCTTGTCAACGTGATGTAGTTATTTTCCACATTGTCAACGTGATGTAATTATATTCCACCTTGTCAACGTGATGTAATTATTTTCCACCTTGTCAACGTGATGTTATTATTTTCCACCTTGTCAACGTGATGTAATTATTTTCCACCTTGTCGATCTGATGTAATTATTTTCCACCTTATCAACGTGATGTAATTATTTTCCACCTTGTCAACGTGATGTAATTATTTTCCACCTTGTCAACGTGATGTAATTATTTTCCACCTTGTCAACGAGATGTGGTTATTTCCCACACTGTCAACGGGATATAATTATTCCACAGCTTGGCAACGTGATATAATTATTCACCACCTTGACAACGTGATATAATTATTCCTCATGCTTCAACGTGATCTATTATTTGACACTTCACAACGTGATATACTATTTGACACTTGACAACGTGATATATTATTTGACACTTGACAACGTGATATATTATTTGACACTTGACAACGTGATATATTATTTGACACTTGACAACGTGATATACTATTTGACACTTGACAACGTGATATACTATTTGACACTTGACAACGTGATATACTATTTAACACTTGGCAACGTGATGTACTATTTGACACTTGACAACGTGATATACTATTTGACACTTGACAACGTGATATATTATTTGACACTTGACAACGTGATATACTATTTGACACTTGACAACGTGATATATTATTTGACACTTGGCAACGTGATATACTATTTGACACTTGGCAACGCGATATACTATTTGACACTTGACAACGTGATATATTATTTGACACTTTACAACGTGATATACTGTTTGACACTTGACAACGTGATATATTATTTGACACTGGACAACGTGATATATTATTTGACACGTGACAACGTGATATATTATTTGACACTTGACAACGTGATATACTATTTGACACTTGACAACGTGATATATTATTTGACACTTGGCAACGTGATATATTATTTGACACTTGACAACGTGATATATTATTTGACACTTGACAACGTAATATATTATTTGACACTTGACAACGTGATATATTATTTGACACTTGACAACGTGATATATTATTTGACACTTGACAACGTGATATATTATTTGACACTTGACAACGTGATATACTATTTGACACTTGACAACGTGATATAATATTTGACTCTTGACAACGTGATATATTTTTTGACACTTGACAACGTGATATATTATTTGACACTTGACAACGTGATATATCATTTGACACTTGACAACGTGGTATATTATTACCCACCTTGTTAACGTGGTATTATACTCCGCACTTTTCACTGTGACATCTCACTATACACTTGTCAAGGTGATTTATTTATTCCTTTCCTTGAAACCGTGACATCTTACTCGATACTTGTCATTGTTGTATAGTTATTCCCTTCATTGTCAACCTGATATCTCATTTTACACTTGTCAACGTGATATAATTATTCCCTTCCTTGTCAACGTGATATCTTACTCCACACATGTCAACGTTATCTAATATTATCCTCCGTGTCAATGTGATGTAATTATTTACCACCTTGTCAATGTAATATAATTATTCCCATCCTTGTCAACATGATATCTTATTCCACACTTGTCAGCGTGATATAATTATTCCTCCCTTACTCAACCAGACTTATTACTATTATTCCCCCTCGTGCCATCCACACACACACACACACACACATTCACACACACACATTCACACACACACACACACACATACACACTATATCTGTTAAAATAAGAAAAAAGCACTCCAGAACACACAAAACGACAACTCGCTCACCATTTAAGTCGAACTTGTCAAGGCAGACTGGCCGTAGGGAGAATTCTTTCACACAGAATTCCAGCCAGGATTTAACATCGTGTGGTGTCCACAACATCGGCGGAGTGGCTGTTAACAAATATCAATTACTGCTCTTTCATGTGTAGATTTATTGGTGCTTTATTAATATCCTACCCCTAGACGACGTCACAGGACAGTCCAACATTTTAGAAATTGGTAAGACATGGTTTCTCGGCTTTCTGATGCTTTTAACGACCCCTAAACATTTAGAACAGCCCCTAACCCTGACCACAGACGTCCCACGAGAGAGTGCAGCCTAGGCCCCACGACTGCATGCAGCCTATCTACCACCCCCTGAAATATTAGCTTGTCCTTTGACCTGCGAATATCCCCTGTTTGGGGTAGGATATTAATAAAGCACCGATTGATTTGTGCAGCTTAACTTGTATTAAGAGTATATGCCATTAAACGAGGTTCTTCTCTCTTCTTCGGCGATGAATGACTGCTACGCGTCTATCCCAATTTGGTCTCAAAAATGACTGTACGCTTGGGGTCTTTATCGTTGTTTTATAGATGATCTTGTATGGATGCTCCTTTGGGTCAGATTTCTTCTCTCTGACTGGCAAAGTCTAGGTATTTATGTAAGACATGCTCTGGGGTTTGCTTTGGTGAGTTGCAACTACATGCTACAAAGTTAGCAAGGCCCATTCGACTTTCCTGTGCTCTGGGTTTAAAATGTGTCCAATTCTTAGACTGCAAAGTTCGAGCCTGGGCATTTATGACTGAAGTAATAGTTTTGGGAGCATAAATGGTTTTTTGCTAGCCTCTTTATTTCAAGGTATTTCCATTGTATTACAACCTTTCTGGGTTCAACTAAAGGCAACTCTTGTGTCTGCTATTTCTACACTGCCTGTGCTCGTTAATGTGTTTCTGACAATGGTATGAGAGTCACACTGTGGAAGAGATAGTGATTTCACCACGTAGTACTACTTTAAGAAAGCAGTGGATGCACTGGCTAGAGAAAGAGAGGATTTTAGACATCTATAAAAGCACAGTCCTGGAAAACTGGCTAGAAAAAGAAAGGATTTTAGGCATCTAAAAAAGCATAGTCCCGGAAAACTGGATAGAAAAAGAAAGGATTTTAGACATCTAAAAAAGCATACTTCTGGAAAAAACTGGCTAGAAAAAGAAAGGATTTCATGCATCTATAAAAGCATAGTCCTGGAAAACTGGCTAGAAAAAGAAAGGATTTTAGACATCTAAAAAAGCATAGTCCTGGAAAACTGGCTAGAAAAAGAAAGAATTTCAGGCATATATTAAAGCATAGTCCTGGAAAACTGGCTAGAAAAAGAAAGGATTTTAGGCATCTATAAAAGCATAGTCCTAGAAAACTTGCTAGAAAAAGAGAGGATTTCAGGCATCTACAAAAGCACAAAAATATGGCTAAAGAAAGAGAGGCTTATAGGCTTGCCTGACGAGAGCGACTTTCTGTAGAGGACCTGCTGACTGAGAACAAATACACGATTACGTTTATGACTGTATGAAACAAGTTAATCTTACCCAAATGGCTAGGAACTAAAGCAACTTGCGGGCGTGCCATCTCGCCCTGACTGGAGTGGTCACACGCAGGTAGGTACTCCGCTTGTATGGGAGATGGCCTGCCTGTCTGTGGACCAAAATAAAACACATGGTTACATAATCAACTGTGAAACCATCGTTTGATCATCATAGTAATAGTCATAACCCCATAATATCTACTACGACCAGATAGTGCACTACAGGGAGTCCTGAGTGCACCACAGGCTGTCCTGAATGCACAAAAGGGAGTCCTGAGTGCACCACAGGGAGTCCTGAGTGCACCACAGGCAGTCCTGAGTGCACAAAAGGAAGTCCTGAGTGCACAACAGGGAGTCCTGAGTGCACCACAAGAAGTCCCGAGTGCACCACAGGGAGTCCTAAGTGCACCACAGTGAGTCCTGAATACACCACAAGGAGTCCTGAGTGCACACCAGGCAGTCCTGAGTGCATCACATGCAGTACTGAGTGCACCACAGGCAGTCCTGAGTGCACCACAGACAGTCCTGAGTGCACCACGGGCAGTCCTGAGTGCACCACAGGCAGTCCTGAGTGCACCACAGGCAGTCCTGAGTGCACCACAGGCAGTCCTGTCACTTAGACATAATGGAAGTAGAAGCAGATCTAGAGGCCGACCACGCAAGCGATGGATGGGTGGTGTGGTCACGGCTGTAAATTACAGCATCTACTTAGAGTGGAGAAACTCACACCTAGGCGCTTCCATGATACTTCTTCAAATTAAAAATTTGACACTGAAAACAGAGGAGGAGAAGGAGGTGGAGGAGAAGAAGAAGAAGAGCTACAACACTGCGTGTCTTTGGGTCACCAGTTGACTGTCTGACTAGATCTCATCAATAGGGGCTATGATTTCCCCTTCTACATATTTATCAGTGTCGCGCGGTTAAACAATAGTGATAGATAATTAATATTCACAGATAAAACTGGCTGTCACACAAAAGAATAAAAGATGAAAAAATTGAAAATGTCACAAACTTAAATAGCAATGGAGAATTTGACAGAAATTAAAACGAGGATTGCCACAGCAATGCAAAAGTTAAACAGCATTAAAGGTCTATGGTTAAGCACCAGCAAGGAAGTCAAAAATTAGAATTTTGAGAGCAAGCATCTTCCCTGTAGCAACATACGGATGTGAGTCATGGACTATCTCCCAGTCCTTAAGAAAGAGAATAGGGGCTTTTGAGCTGAAATGCTATAGAAAGATTCTCAGAATATTTTGGACAAAGAAGATGGGAAATATTGATACCCTGAAAGATCTGAACATCAAGAAAGATCGGCTGATAAACGGCATCCTGTCTCGAAAGCTGAAATATTTTGGTCACATCAAGCGCCATGATAGATTGGGGAAACAAAATAATAGCAGAAGGCATGGTACCAGGAAGGAGGGACAGGGGCCGACCGACACGAACATGGGCACAGGATATAAGTGACACTTTGATTACGAAAGTACATGAGGCGGGAGAACTGGCAAAACAAAATTATTTTTAGGCAGACCGTGATGTGAGCGACGTTCTGCAAAAGACCTGCTACACGATGATACTAGTCCGTTGCAGGTTGACACTGTGGGCGTCAAGTGAATCAAAGAATATTAAATTTTATTAAAACACCATTGTGTCTTATAGACCACATGATATAGTATCTTTTTAGTGCAGTGGTTTTATACAAGTCATAAAAACTTGGTTTATAACTGTTTTTATAATGTTGTTGTAATTACTGATGCTTCTTCGATTCCAATGTAATTATCAATAATTCTGGCCTAATATTATTTCAAGCTTTTGTCTAATTTTGTATTTTTGGTTGTTGTTGTTGTTGTTTTTTAAAATTTATTTTGTTTTGTTGTTGAAATAAACAATGCAAAGTAGTTACTGTTATATTTTCGTATATATCTTCGAAACAATTAAATTATAAACAGATAATTCTAAATCGAAAGACAATTTTAGCAACTGCTGTAAATAAAACAAATATTAAAAACAAATTCTTTTAGAAAAATGTTTTCGTTTAAAATGTATCAGTAATTGATGTACTAAAATTTGTTTACCATATTTACCAAACAAATTTGACATGAATAAAAACGTTTAACTAGAAAGTATATCTTAATGGACACATTACACCAATACGGAAAACAAACATGTAATATTACATTCTAAGACAGCACTTTCCAACTCCATGCTACAAATTTCAGATTCCGACAATGAAAGAAAAAGAGAAAAGTAAAATTTAAAAAAAAAAAAAAGATTTCTGAAAAGAGAATTTTTTATTTTCAGAAGATAGACTACTATCAGAAACGATTAAATCCGACGACAATTAGGGACAACAGCGGGGCTATATTTCGATCATTAATCTAGATTGCCAACAGACAATATGCCACAACAAGTAATGAAGTAAAGAGAAAGTGGGAATACAAACAACTCCGCTAAGACAGGTCCCAAGCCCGGCTGTAAAAGGAGGAGGGTCTGGCTGAACCTGAGTGCTTTATGCGTCTCCGGAAGTAGTGGGTAACCGTGAATCAGCAGACGGCCTGCATGGAGGCCGCAAGGAGGCAGCCCCTCCACCATGCAAAGGCACAACAGGCCAATCACCTGTTTGCCTTAAACTATGATTACAAGTAACTACAGAAAGAAAACCAGACAGGTCTTAACGGCGACAAACTGGCATGGCTTACGGACTACGATTTATGGAACATGGAACATAAGAGGCATTAACGAAAAGGAAAAGGAGTTAGTAGGGGAGATGAGGAAAGCGAAATTAGGAGTCTTGGCTCTGACTGAAATCAAGAAAAAGGGGCAAGGAATCACAAATCATGACGGAAGTATGCTGCTCTACAGTGGTGTCCCTATGACGGAGAGAGCTAAGGGAGGTGTTGGCTATATTGTGGCCAGGAACCAAGTTAGTAAAATCAAGGGATGGAAATTCATCGGAGCGAATTATGGTGTTAGATTTGAAAAAAGAAGATACAATTATCAATATTGTTATTGTGTACAGCCCAAATGAAGATGAGCGGGTTGATGTTAAAGAAGAATTCTTTGAACTGCTCCAAAGGACCATAGATGACTGTCACGATGAAATTATCCTCCTAGGAGATCTAAATGCCAGAGTAGGAAATGATCACTCTAGATGGGGTGGAGTGATCGGAAGATATGGTGAAGATGTTTTGAATGATAATGGCAAGCGACTCCTCAGATTCTGCAGGGAACAAAACCTTGTCATTACAAACACAAAATTCCCCCACAAGCGTATATATGCATACACAAGATGTGAACCTTCAAAGAATGAAAAATCCATTATTGACTATGCCATAGTTTAGAAAAGTTCATTCAAGTTTGTTAGAGATGCCAGAGTCATGAGAGGACCAGAGATTGGAAGTGACCAATATCTGGTCACAATAAAGAGAACAACTGAAAGAACTGCTCCAACAAGGCAACACCAACAACCATGCAAGAAACCAAGCAACCAAGAAGGGATGAGGATTAAGGCATACAAGCTCAGAGAGCCAGATATTAGGGCTAGATACCAGGAGCTTATAGTGAAAGCAGTAGGAACTGAAGAAGAACCATCAGAGGACACTGAAACCCTCTGGTGCAGATTCAAGAATATCCTCACAGCAGCTGCAGCAGAAGCATGTGGTGACGTCCCAAGTGGAAGGCGGGAACATAGGACACCTTGGTGGACAGAAGAAGTCAAACTGAAAAAAGGAGAAAAGAAAAGGGCATGGAAGCAATACCTGGAATAGAAATAGAGAAATATAAACAATATGTAGCACTCAGAACAGAGACCAAAAATATTGTGCTTAAAGCAAAACTGAAATCATGGGAAGAGTTTGGAGAAAAGTTGGAAAAGAATGTAAGAGAAAATCAAAAACTGTTCTACAAGACCCTCAAGAACACGAGGAAGGAGAAAGAGTGCCCACTGAAATTCATAAAAGACAAGGAAGGGGCTCTGCTTACTTCTACAGATATTATCATGGGCAGATGGAAAGAATACTTCTCAGAGCTCCTTGGCGTTGAGGGAAGTCATGACCCAGAAATAATGGACCTCACTGCTGAGAAGGAAATCATCCAAGAGGATGATAACATCAGGATGGTAGAGTTGAAGGCAGCTATTGAGAAGATTAAGCTGGGAAAAGCAGCAGGTCATGATGGGATAACACCAGAGATGGTCAAATATATGGGTGTCGCAGGTGAGCGCCTTCTACTGAAGGTTCTCCAGGCAGCCTGGTGTAGTAAAACTATAACAAAAGATTGGAAGATTGCCATCATTATACCTATATTAAAAAAAGGTGATAACAGACAATGTGAAAACCACAGAGGCATATCCCTCCTCAGCGTTCCTGGTAAAAGTTACTCTAGAATTCTCGAACAGAGACTTAGAAGTCTGGTAGAGCCACAGCTGGACGAGGCCCAATGTGGCTTCAGAGCAAACCGAAGTACTCAAGACCTTATCTTCACACTGAGACAGATGCAGAAGCTGCAGAAATTATGTAAGAACAGCAGACCAAAAGTTAGAAGAATTTAAGACCACCAGCGGTGTTAGACAAGGTGATATTCTCTCACCTTACCTCTTCATTCTTATGATGGATGATGTCATCAAGACCTGTAAGGAGAAGACAAAGAAGTACTCAGTAGGGTACTGGAAGATGAGACCAATCTGTATATCAGAGCTGGCATTTGCAGATGATGTGGCCCTGATAGCTAAATCAGAGGCACACCTTCAGTCCAATTTACTTGTCTGGAAGGAAGAGCTTGAAAAGAGAGGGATGACCATCAGTATCTCCAAAACTAAAACCATGGTGATCTCAAGAGAGGAGAAGAAACACCAGATCATGATGGGACTGTATGCATTGGAGCAGGTTAACCAGTTCAAATACCTTGGAGTTGTATTAGACCGAAATGGAGGCATTAAGACTGAGCTGGCTACACGAAAAGCAGCTGCGGGAAGACTCTTCCAGGCCATAAACCGAGGGTTTCTTAGCAAAAGAGAAATTGGCAAGAGGACGAAAATGGCTGTTTACCGCTCTACCTATGTACCAGTCCTGACCTATGGGTGTGAGTCATGGGCAATGACAACAGCTCACAG